CCTATAAGATATAGATACGTTCCAATTTATTAGGAATCCGATTTCTTACAAGTCGTTCCAATCACAGCCCGACACGTGTCAAGTTTACGGACTACGGCTGATTGAAAGGTTTTCTTCCATAAAATTAATCGATTCTACACTAATCCGACTCAACATTTCCAAAATACGTATATTTTTTCGTAGTTTTATAGAAATCGTAATTATAGGGACCGTAATTATAGGGGGGTCGACTGTAAATGTATAAGATATATATATATTATATATATAATATATATGTATATTTATTTATTTATCTCTTTACTTATATCATATTCTCATATTTTCCAAAAAGGTTGAATATAAATCAGTAATTCAATACACAAATGTAGTCATACTAAATGTGTATACATATATATTTATATATATTATATACTTTCTTGTTTTTCAAATCATATAACAAATGTTTCTTAGAGTTTTTGTATGTAAAGTACAATGAATTAATCAAACTTTTTGGGCAACAGATGCTAAATATAGCACAATAAAACTGTAAGTCAGCCTTGATTTTCAGGGAGATCATCCAACTTACCAAATTTTTCATACCTAAAAGAAAAATGACATCACATCATGACAGGTTGTTAAAAATTATACACACCTTTTATTTTTTAATTTTAAGTTTACCTTTCACACTGATCAATAGTAATTTGAGCTAGTTCTTTTATTCTGGCATATGGTTTGGGTCGAAGCAATAAGTCCTCCAACATTTGCAAACCACCTTCTTCTTTGAGAAGAGAGCAATACTTGTCAGCTAAAAATTTTCAAAAAAATTCATTTCAATGTATACTATTTTGAAATTCAAAATTGCATAGAACTGCTTATACTAACCATAGACTCTTGTCAAATTAGCCAGAGCCCAAACTGCCCAATGCTGTGCTTCAGGTGAATGATCAACATTCAGAAGACGTAGAATGGGTTCAAAAGATCTAAAATAATCATTTTATTTCATTAAAATTGAATAAATATTCAAACAGAAAGAAAAATTTCATATATAAAATATGTTTGCCTGTAATTAATGTTGCGTTTAGTATTAAGTTTCCAACGTTCAATTGCTTTCACCATCCTCCAAAGAACATCGGGACGCTGTACAGCTCTTATGTTATATGATATCCATGGTTCAGGACCATCTGACATAATATGAGAGAGTATTCCAGCAGCATTGTAACTTACTTCAATACCATCACTTGTGCTGTCTAATAACTCACTAAAATTATATATAAAAAGTAAATTTAGTTATTTCTGCCCTTATATTTATTTAAAATACACTAACTAAATAATTTTTGTGTATTCTGAAACCATGTATTCTTTTTTGTGTTTTTATCGTCACAACTAGGTGCATAGATAGACACTCGGCATTTCTACATCATCTTTATTTGGAATCTTCTATAGGCCGGTACATGTTTTGGGCATAAGCCCCTCATCTGTCGGCATGACTTCCAGGATTTCTTATAGATGGTGTTGACACATATACATTCCATTTAAAATCACTTATTTACAGTTAAAATTGTTTTACTGTTAAAATACCATTATAGTTTAAAATATATTTATAATTAAAAGTACTATTACATTTAAAGNAAATTTTAATTTGCAAAATTTAATAATATAGTTCATTAGAAAGAATGGTAATTATAGTCTACAGGTGATTTTTCTCTCAAGTTTTTTGAGAGACATGCCGTATATCTTCTGATAGACGCCTCCCGTGTTTAATTACTGAACTGGCTGACCTACCCATGCTTATTAACCTACAGTTATGTTCTAAAAAAAAATAAAGAAACAGAGTAAAGAGCAGATCAAAATGTACAGATATAGCAAAAGATAATTAATTAACAATCCCTTTTGCTAATTTTGGTCAACTGACTGGGATACAATGCACTCAAAAATGAAATTGGAAATTTCCAAGTTCCAGTTTCACCAGAGACTAGCATCTATTCAAGTCTTTGCTAAATAAATATCTAGCTGTTGACAGCCACTATACATTTTAACAATTCTATTCTGCAGTTTTTCCCTAATATACGTTATTCTATTTTTTGTGTACACAATCACTGTTCGATGTCATTTGCACTATATTTAGGAAAGGAGCGTTTTTTGGCAGGGGTGCTGTGTGAAGTGCAGTGTCAGGGTTTGGGCGTTCAGTTCAAATTCAGCAAGGAAACATGGCATCCACGTGTTGTATGATCTCAGTGTTCTTTGTTCATAAACTTGTATTGTTTCATGTATTGATTCATTCTACATTAAATTGAGTGAACTGTTACTGTTTATTATTATATATTAAGAAACTAAAGGACAGTAAGGCAATAATAATTGTTACTGTTTATGTTTAGTTGTATCTTTTGCCAGACATCATGAAGCTCATTGACATTTATTGGTCCATCGAGGCAGATCTGGTGTGGTTGACTACAGTTGACTAATGGAGACATCGGCTACTTCATCCTTTGAAATCCAACCGGATGTCTGGAAACTCAAGCAGTGAGTACCGTTTAATGTTTTATCGTGCAAAAATCAAAAGGATGATGTAGATAGTATAGTTACTCCAACATACTTTAACAAAAAATTGGTGACAATAACAGACATCGCAAGGTATTCACATTTTTCACCAGATGCTTGTCCTCTGGTGTTTAAAAACAAAACTATTTTATCTGGGCTGTTTGAATCATTCTTGTGTATTGTCAACAGTAAAGATGAATAGCAATAGAAAAAGCAAAGCTCTCTCTTGCATTCCAAATTGCAATTTCAAAGCCATATGGGAGCCTAATATAAGTTTTTGTCTATTCTCACATGAAAAACAGATGATTATTCGGAAATCAGAATTTGGAGAAGCTCAAAAATATAACAGAGAGAAAGAGTGGGTTCGACTGTTAAGAATTGGCAAAAAAGTTTCCCTGATTGTCCAGCTTTATATGAACAAGTTACACTGTCAATTTTAAAGGATTTTTCCTTAAAGTTTAAAATGCCAGTAATTTTGTGTGGGACACAGGGCCAGATTTAAGCATTTCAAAGCCCTAAGCTGAACTCTGTGTGAGGCCCCTTACCAACCCTTCATATTTTTATAAATCAATCATAAAAACAAAAGAATTAACATAAACATATTAACTACTTTTTATTTTGTATAGTATTTAAAGTATATTTTGTTGGTTTGTAAAAAAATTTTTATTACAAAATTTGACTTCATTTTTCTTTTTTGTAGAAATTTTTGAGGCCTCTTGAAACTCAAGGCCCTAAGCAAAAAGATAACATAGGTTACTTATAAAGATGGCCCTGATGGGACAGATGTCACAGCTAATGTTTTTTAACACAGAGCACAAATGTATAGAACAATCTCGCTCATTTGTTTCTATAATACCAAATGTAATGACAAGTCCGCTAGCAATAATTGTTCTCCTATAAAATTTCTTGATAAACAGCTACAAGTAGCATATATCATTATATTGAGCAGTAATATATGATTAATTTTATGTTGACTAGTTACAAGTGACCCAGTTAAAGTAGCCATTTTATAAAAATAAAGCACCTTCTATAGTTCATGAAAAATGCAAATAGTATGAACGGAGTGGAAGTTAAACTTCCAAAGTTGGAACTTCTGGTTTTTAGCAGCAAATACGATGAATGGCTCTTGTTCCATGACTTGTTCATGGCAACTGTTCATGGTAACTCCACATTATCAAGTGTCCAAAAACTCCAGTATTTGAAATGGTCAGTATGTCATGAAGTTACTCTATTGATCCAATCCATTCCTATCACTGATGGAAACTGTCAAGAAGTGTAGGACACCTTATTAAAACGATACAGTCATAATCATGAAATTATTGATTCTTACATTCAGAAGCTATTCAATCAACCCAGCATTACGCAAGAATCAGCCACAGCATTATGACACTTAATAGATACAACTAATGAGTGTGTTCGTGCACTTAATTTACTAAAGCTACCTGTACAACATTGAGAATATACAGTACAATAGAGTCCCAAAGAAAAATTGGATCATGAGCCTCGCAGGCAATGGGAACTCCAGGCCTGAAAATGAATCACTATTCTCACTAATTTAATAAATTAGTCACTTTTTTCAACTATTTCGGCAATATATCACTATTTCTCACTTTTTCTACCGTTATGGGCAACGACATTTTTATGATGCCAAGCTGTCATATGTTACTTCATTAATTAATGTTTAAATACTTAAATTGTGGTGCCCATAATGTCTTTCTCTTGTTGCACATTGAAAACTTCATGTTATTATATGACTTTTGAAGTCTGAAAAATGTTAGTTACATACTATCATAAATTTGAGAGCGCACAGTCTAATATTGACAAAAAGTGTTTTACTTTCCCAGCTTGTTATGTACATATGGGAAAAATATTGGAATTGTATCAAATTTGATCCTGTGAGTTTTTTACAAATCTTGGCATTTTGAGATCTCCTGAATCCAAAAATAGGGGAAAAATTCATGTGTGTTGGTGTCTATTTCATTTAATATTCCAGGAGAGGGTAATGATTAAGAAATCAAATTTAGTGTGGTAGCTTGTGTATAAAGGTAATTGATGTTATTAAATTTTGGTGGTTATAGATCGAGAAGTGGGATCACGTGTCATAACTTGATTGAAGTCAGACTTCATGAAGATTTTACTCATTACTAGCATTTATAATTTTATATAAAACTTGTCTCTACCCTCAAAATTAAACTATTTGCAGTTTTGTAATTATTAATAATATAAAAGTTATTTTTTTAAACAAAATCTTGTAACAAATGGTGCCACAAATTAATTTTAAATTCATTCTATTATGCCATCTTGTATTTTTGCTGGAGAAGTTATGCATTTCGTTTCTGGATTTTTTATTTAATAAAATGTCTTGTTTTAAGTTTTAATAATTCTGCGACTCTGAAAACTTTTTTCTAATTAATAATTTTAAGCAATTAAAAATTTTAATTTGCAAAATTTAATAATATAGTTCATTAGAAAGAATGGTAATTATAGTCTACAGGTGATTTTTCTCTCAAGTTTTTTGAGAGACATGCCGTATATCTTCTGATAGACGCCTCCCGTGTTTAATTACTGAACTGGCTGACCTACCCATGCTTATTAACCTACAGTTATGTTCTAAAAAAAAATAAAGAAACAGAGTAAAGAGCAGATCAAAATGTACAGATATAGCAAAAGATAATTAATTAACAATCCCTTTTGCTAATTTTGGTCAACTGACTGGGATACAATGCACTCAAAAATGAAATTGGAAATTTCCAAGTTCCAGTTTCACCAGAGACTAGCATCTATTCAAGTCTTTGCTGTAAGGCTGCATTTATGCAAACGTGAGAAAAGAGTAAAAACACGTAAAAATGAATTTATGCAATCACGACACTGTTTATGCAGAAGTGAGAAATGAAATTCATGTATAAACATGCAAAAAATGCACACACCCTGTGAGAGCATTAGATTCTAAAGCATGCTGCTGCAGCAAACAGTGCCAATAGCTGGAACTCGATTTGTGGTATTTTCTGGTCATAATTATGTATAAAGCAATCATAATTTGTAATTATTATTAGTTAATAATGAAAATAAGTTATTGTTCTTTAAACAAAAGAAAACGTTCTCAAACTAAATTATAACGTTAAATGAAACAAAACCATAACATAAAATAATATTCAGATTCTACTCCTTACAAATAATGTATATCATCGTGACCAACCAATTTTATTTCAGTCACTGTTTAGTAACTTTTTCCTTGCTAGGCGTTACTATTCTCACTTATTTTGAAGTCATTTTCTGTTCTGAGGCCTGTGTTTCAACTAAGCAACAGATATACAACTGCTTGCAGACAAAGGCATTTCATGGTATTTCACACTCCCCAGCAGCCCCTTACTTTGGGTCTTTGGAAAGCTGGAGTAAGGTCAGTGAAGTATCATCTAAAAGGGATATTAGGGCTCAACCAGCTAACCTACGAAGAGATGGAAATGCTGCTATATCAAATTGAAGCCTGTTTAAATTCCAGACAACTCATGGCACTTAGCAGTGGATACTCGGGCTTATTTTACTGCTGCTACTATAATTATTGTTGTTCCTACTGGTATTAAGATTTTTAAGGGAATCAGCAATTCCTGAGCCAGATCTCCCAAGCATCAAACCTAACTATCTTTCTCACTGGCAGCTAGGCTAACAGATGCTGCGACATTTCTGGAGACATTGGAAGCATGAATATCTTGCATGTCTACAATGACCTAAATGAGCAACCAAGAGAGAAAATATCAAGACTGGCAATTTAGTGCTATTCAAAGACAACAATCTACCACCCACTAAATGGAAGATGGCTAGAGTTTATGAACTTCATCTGGGAGAGGACAATTGTGTACAGGTTGTTACAGTCAAACTAGCATCTGGTCAACAACTCAAGTGACCTGTTGTGAAAATATGCCCCCTTCCTCTTGATTAACTATCAGTGACATTTTTCTTACAATCCCCTATTGAAATTGTTATTTCAAGGTAGGTGTCATTTGCACTATATTTAGGAAAAGAACATTTTTGGCAGGGGGCATGGTGTTGGGCGTTCAGTTCAAATTTAGCAAGGAAACATGGTGTCAATGTGTTGTATGATCTCAGTGTTCTTTGTTTAGAAACTTGTATTGATTCGTTCTGCATTAATCTGAGTGGACTATTACTGCTTATGTTTAGTTGTATCTTTTGCCAAACATTCCAAAGGTTCATTCCAAATTCTCTATACATTCATACATTTACATCAATATTTCTATACTTCGACACTCCTGTTTATTCAAAATATTACAACCAACAGAATTAAAAAAACAACTTTAATAAAATAGTTTAACATTGATATCTAAGTTGTATTTATATCTTCCATCTTATGTGCAGTTATTATTTGCTTATCTTGTATGTTTATTGATAATTTTTAAGAAATTTTTTACCTAAACCAAATTGTTATATAGAAATTATATATACGAGGCTTGTCCGAAAAGTAAGTACTGTTTTGGAAAAACTCACATAAAAAATCTTTTTTCAAAACAAAATTTATTTTTACATGAAAGAGCATGTCGGAAACTATTTTTCTATATAGTTACCACCATTGTTCAGACATTCATCATATCGGGAAACCAACTTGTCTATATCCTCTTCAAAGAAAGATGCCGCCAGTGAAGACAGCCACTGCTGAACATTGATTTGTGACAATATCATGCAAAACAGTTTTTGAAATTTGTGGAAACTCATCACAAAGCAATCTTATTGTGAACCGTCTGTTTTCAAGAATTTTCTCATTCACTTTTGCAACCAAACCATCATTGATAACAGAAGGCCGGCCACTCCGTGCTTCGTCATGAACATTGGTGCATCCAGCATTAAATTGTCGAACCCACTTTCTCACTATTCCATCACTCATTACATTTTCACCATAAATCTCTACAAGTTGACGATGAATTTCAACTGGCTTAACATTCTTTGCGTTCAAAAACCGTATTACAGAACGTACNTTTCGTTACGTATTTTACACCTGGACTGTAATTAATATGCCTACCGCTGACTAGAATCGTGAAAAATAACAGAATTTTTCAGCTTGCCTCTATAGCTAATCATTTATTCCTGGCTACGGGATGCTAAAAATAGAGATTGGACTTCTCCGGACTATGGCTATTTAAACACAAAATCTGTCCATCATTCGATCCAAAATTTTATGTTAGTTTGACGTCCATTGCTCTTTATTCGTTAGTCCACCTGAATCTTAATTCGAACGATTAGGGAAAGGAAGAACTTTCTGTTCCTATACATTATACGGGTTTATGTTAGAAGTTTTGTTAACAGATTAAAAAAATAACATTTCAGGAACAGATTTAATTCACGAAATAAAATATTTTTACGTTTTTTTCGAAGAAAATGACACCAATAAAAATGTATTTATGAAAAAGATTAATGTTTTCTTTGTAGCCATACGTGTTTGCTGACGTTGCCTGTTTCTGTGGCCAGCGAGGAAAATACTTTTTTAAAATTAAAATAAATAGAAACACATTTGAGGACATCCGTGACTTAGAATAGATTAAATGTATTTTCGACGTTGTCAATTGAACGGGAGTTTATAAATGTCTTTCATTTAAATTAATAACAAGTTTCGAAACCGCAACAGCCAGAAATTCGATTAGTATTTTCTTTTTGTCTAATCTTATTATTATGCAATTTAGATACAAAAATAAAACTCTAAAATGCAGAAAATGGGCCTAAATGTGTACTGTACGTAATTTAATGAAATTTCGACTAATCTTGTACAACATAAAGGATTTTTAAAAATCTTTTTTCGTCCTGTAGGCATTAAGAAGACCTTTTTATAAAGCCAAGTTCATTAATTTTCTAAAAATTCATTAAAGAAATCATTGCTGATTTTGTAAATTTTGTTAATTAATTAAATTACTTTTATTTGCATTAAAAACATTGGAAACTCACCTGAATACTGAAAGATATTCATCTTTCATTAATCGTGGCCTTAAATCTTTTACTTCAGCTACATTACCCTATGAAATATCATTAATTAGAAATTTCAGCCTAATACAATGTTCTTAAAAAATATATTGTAAATGTATCTTACTAATAATCCCATCATATTTCTTAATAATTCTGGTTTATCAGAAAAACTCTGTAATAAAGGATTAAGTATATTAAGAATCCAAACATAATACTAAAATTACATTTATTCAAAACTTTAAGTTTACCTGTAAACAACCTAAGAAAAGATCCATTCCTCTTCCGTCTAAAAATCTTTGACAATTAATAGGTGTTTCATCTAAAAAAATACAATTATTATAATGAATTATAAATATTTCATTATGTAGCTCAATTTGAATATTTATGTATTGAAAATTTTCATTAAATTTATATATAAAATGTACTAAGTTTAAGTATCTGACAATCCATATAAAAAATTTAATAATATGAATGAAATGTTGAAAAATAATAATGTGTATAATAGAAATTTGCTTATTTGCATTTGTATTGGGTTGTTTGGAAAGTAAATTTCGTTTTTGTGTCCCATCAAATATGGAAAACCGAAAGCAGCTGTAAGGAACCAAGCCCGAACGTTATTTTTATTTACTTTTATTTTGCTTATTATTCTATTTTTGTTTGGGGCTTATGTTTTGTTAGGACGAAGGTTTCCTCACTATTCACCTTAGTAAGTTAAAAATAGAAGAAAAACCAACTCACCGACAAAAGAAAAGCGCCATAGGAAAAACTCGCGCACACTTGCGCTTCCTGAGCGGAAAAAAGTAAGTCCGCACCGAGAAAAGGGGGGGAAGACCCCACAAGCACGAATTAGGGACTCGCTAAACCTTAAAGAATAAAAACGTCCCGAAAATTGTGAAAAAGAATAATGTAAAAGGTTAACGAGTAATTGTCGTAAATAGGCTGCCAGAGAAACGAAAAAAGTTTATTGTTAGCGTTAAGTATGTAAATGAGGAGAGTGATCTCATTCAGAATTGTGACGTCACCTCACACTATAAATTCCGAGTCTCAAGTGAAGATGAACGAGGTGAATTCCTGATAGCGACGAGCTTTGGTGAGCTTAGTAGCAGTGAACGAGAGAGGTGTCCGATAGGATCAAATAGTTCCAAGGCGATTTTGAAGTTATTCGATTTATGGATCGACGATTATAGAAAGTCTTGAGAGTTTGAGGAAATAGGTTCCTAGTATATTGAGGTGACGATTAGGATCTTTAATTTATAAGAATTATTGTTTATAAGTTAATTCTTTGATTTTGTCGAATTCCAAAGGGGAATAGAATTAAGTTAGAAATAGATTGATTTGAGTTTGTCGGATTGATTCTTGTTGAATTTCATTGAATAAATTATTGTTTGATTTTTACTAAATACTGTATATAGTTTATTACTAGAAGTTTAATTAAATATTTGATTTTGTTATTGACAAACTTTGTCATTATTTAATTCGGTGCACGCTTAAAGTCCAGGCCTGGCACACTAACGCGAATCCGCGTAAAGTACCCGTTAGGGAACGGCTATTTCCGGCACACAGTAGTGTCGATAATCGTTGGAAAGTCGGAAAAATAATATAGTACTTTACACAGCATTTTTGACATATTTTGCTTTTTATTACTGAAAAGGTAAGAATACTATTCAAGCAAGGAAAAAAGTGTGTAACATGTATGGAGATGTGTTGACAGAATGACAATGACAATGCCAAAACTGGTTCGCAGAATTTCGTTCCAGCAATTTTGATATTGAATATGCACCATGTTCTGGAAAGCCAGTTGAAGCTGATGAAGACAAAATAAAGGTATTGATTGAAGTAAACCACCAAATAACAACACAAGAATTTGCTAAGAGATTAAATTTGTCAAATTCAACCATTTATGATCACTTGTAATGACTTGGTTTTGTTTCAATATATGGAATTCACATGTTCTTAAAGAATGTGATTTGCTTCTCAAACATAAAAAAATGATCCATTTTTGAAGCAAATCATTACTGGAAATAAAAAATGGATTGTTTATGACAATGTCAAATGCAAGTGATCATGCAGTAGAAGAGATGAGCAGGCTCAAAGCACTTTAAAAGCAGATATTCATAAAAAAAAGTGACAACTCTGTTTGGTGGAATTTTAAGCGAAATGTTTTTTTTTTGAGCTTCTACCAGGCAATTTCACAATTGATTTGGAAGTGTGCTGCCATCAACTGGACAAATTGAGTGATACCATCAAACAGAAAAGGCCAGAATTGATCAACAAAAAAGGTATAGTGTTTCACCATGATAATGCCAGACCCTACACAAGTTTGGTAACTCATCAGGAGCTGTGGCAGCTTGGATGGGATGTGCTACCACACCCACCATATTTGCCATATCTGGCAACCCTTGGATTATTACTTGTTCCAATTTTAACAAAATTTTTTAAATGGTAAAACATTTACTTAAAATGAGGATGTCAAAAGTCACTTGAATCAGTTTTTTGTAAACAAAGATCAGAATTTTTATGAGCATGAAATCATGCTACTACCAGAAAGATGGCAAAAGGTATACCAGAAAGATGACAAAATACCTTTTCAATAAAATATTTATGTATTATAAGAAACTTTCTTTTTTCCATGAAAAAAATGAAATTACTTTCCAAACAACCCAATAACAAACAACATAAATCATGTTTAATCTCTTTACATACATTAAAAAAATGTTTCTACACTGAGTGGTATTATTCATTGTAAAAATCATTTATGTGAATGTTTTAGTGAAGAAAATTGCTGGAATGAATCATTAAAAAAACTCAATTATTACATTGTGCTTGAATATCTACATTTTGATAATTTCACTTGAATAATGATCTCTGGTGTAGCAATTACTTGAATACTAATTTGAGAAAACACTCAAATGTTTCTCAAGTACTGTTTGACTAAATCTACTAATCCATGTTATTCAATTTATCATATTCAAAGTCTAAATATGGAAGTCTTTTTAAATTTTGAATTTGATTTTTTTCTAAATTAAGCCACTAAATATATTCCTATTATATTATAAAAATAGACTTTTAAATCTATCTTTTGATTTTCTTGAGATTAAAATTTCCAATCTGTATAATGGACAATTTAAAGGAACACAGCATATTGTACTTTTATGCATCATGTAATTCTAATTTAAGTAAGTATCTGTTAAAGAATACTAAACTAAAGCAAGTGTCAATATTGCAAACTATGTATGAATTGGCAACATCTGTGCAAGACCACTAGAAACAAGAAGAGACCTGTTTTCAGTTGTGTGCCAAGTTATGGATGTGTGAACAAGTCCATGTATAGTCTTAGATTAAAATTTAATTCTAAGTTAAAGGATTGCCTCATCATTGTTCTAACAACGGTTATGGACCCAGGAATGGAAAATTAAGAATCGAAGACTATGATTACAGGAATTAAAAGGAAATAGAATTACAAAGCCTACAAATGAAAAATGGCAAGTCAACTAACTATATGAATTTGAATAAAATCACTGTGTAAAGAAAACGTCAATACATGGAAAATACAGATGAAGGCTTTTCTGATCAAAAACAATTTGTGGGAAAGAAAATCTTAAATCATGTCAGCAGAAAAAGAAAGCAACCAGAAATTATACTTGGAGATGAAAGTACAATGAAGGCGGCAGAACAATGGGACACACAGCAGACTCAAAGGCATCGTGTGATGTAATTCTCACCATAAGCCCAGCAGAATTAAAACAGACAAAAGGATGTGAAATCTCACATAAAATATGGAATAAGCTAAATGAAACTTTTGAATCAAAAGGTCCTGCAAGAAAGGCTATGATACTAAAGAAATTAATTTTCAAGAAAATGAGGGAAGGAGATAACATGACAGATCATTTAAGAGACTTTTTCAATATAGTAGATAAATTTAAAGAAATGGAAATCTCCATAAATAAAGAACTATTAACTGTACAACTACTATACAGTATACCAGACTCGTTCAAACAATTTCGAATCACTATCGAAACATAAGAGAAACTTCTTTCGCCGGATCAAATAAAACTGAATAATAGAAGAGTATGAGGTGCGAAAATGAAATGATGATATGGATGACTCGAAGAATTCGGGTGTGCTGTATTTGCTTATATATACAGGATCCTGTTACTTAATCCTGTATATATAAGCAAACGGATAAACAATCAGAAAATAAGAGGCCATTCAAATTCAAATGCCATAACTGTGGAAAGATAGGCCATAAGATGAGAGAATGCTGGGACAGAAACAAGTGAAAACCAAATAGAGATATGACTACAAGCCTAACAACATGAAAACACAAGTCATATAATGCTAATATTACGGCAAATGAAGGGAAAGAAAATCTTAAATGATGTCTAGACTCAGGTGCTTCATCCCACATGTGCAATGATAAAGCACGATTTTCTAACATTAAAACATCCCACCTAAGTGAATTAAACTTGGCCAACTCATCTACAACAGAAATCAAAGGAAGTGGTGATGTAATAAGTGAAACAAAGGGAGGATTTCAAGCCAAATTACAGAACACACTCTTCGTACCAGAACTAAGGACCAACTTACTGTCAGTTGGGATGATAACTGATCATGGATTCAGATTCCAAAAGAATCGGGCAACTATTATGGATCTGAAAACCAAAAGCACACATATGCAAGCGTTTAAAGGAGGAGGACTATACAATGTGAAAGAGAGGTGGGAGGAATCTAAACTTTGAAACAAATGTTAATGAAATGAAAAGGTGGCACGAACATTTAGGTCACTTAAATGAAAGAGACCTATGGCACATGGCCAACGACCTAAAGGTCAAAGAACTAAATATAAGACAAAAAGAAGAACTCAACCCCTGTGAGATCTGCATAAGAGAAAAACAAACCAGATCACCATTTCAAAAAAAAAAAACAAAAAACAAAAACTGCAGAGAAATATTAGAACTGATTCATACCAACATTTGTGGACCAATAAAAACCAAATCATTGAGTGGATTGAAATATTTCATCATGTTTATTGATGATCACTCTAGATGGTGTGAAATATATTTCACGAAAAACAAAAGTGAAGCTCTCAAGAAATTCAAAACATACTTAGCCTTTGTAGAAAATAAAACAGGAAGAAAGGTAAAGGCAATAAGAAGTGACAATGAAACTGAGTATACTAATAAAAAATTTCAAAACTTCCTGAAACACAAAGGGATTAGGCATGAGATAACAGCCTGATACACAACAACAAAACGGCATTGCAGAGAGAAGAAATAGAACATTAATGGAAATGGAAAGATATATGCTTCTCCAAGCAGG